GCAGGAATGAGGCTGGCTAAAATCTCAACAGTGACAAACTAAGAGTCTTTTTGGGGTGACAAATCTTTTAGAACTGTCGAGATGACAATAAAATTTTAAAATTATTGTGATTATTACAAACTTATCTTCTTCCATAAAAAAGAGGCAACTTTCTTATAACATATATTATGATAATAAAAAAAACTCAACACCAAGCGTGATTTTGGAAAAACCAGTCATAACCAAATATAGTCATGTAAAATTGCCCCAAATAAACCATATAGAAAATGTAATTGTGAAAATCAAAGCCTAATTGCGCAGCAAAAGCTTCACCTGCACATCTGATCCGCCTAAGGGGGTCATCTATGTGTTATTTAAGGGAAGACCGGAGACTTTTCTGTAAAAGTATTGAGTTTTAACCGCCTCTAACTAATGAACTCTCACTGGATAGTTTGTTTTTTAGATTTTTTTTTCTTTTTTTTTGTCCTTCGAAGCTAGAGAATCCAAAACCTGTGGAAGAAAAATATATTTATCCCTTTTTTCTTAATGTTTTTGAAAATTTTTGGAACTAATTTGGATTTTTCTTTATTTTGGAGAATTAAAACAAATGGAGTTTCCTAAGTTATCTGTACGAAATCAATTTTCTCATGCAGTGGGGTGCACGCCTACATAGTTGGGCAACGACTTGCATTAAGAGCCCAAATTAAACAGGATAGGTTTTTCTGACAGTTTTTGGGTCCTCGGGATCAGTTTTCGATGTTCCAAACTAAATGTTAGCACTTCCAAAGCTCGATGAAGAATTTACAACTGATTTCAAGCAATCTTGAGAATTTGGAGCCACATTTTCTGGCAACTTTGCTTCGATCAACATGTGAACTTCTACTGAACCTAAAATTACGATTAAGGAGAATTGGTTTAGGGTCCCTAGAGGATGTCCACATTGACATACAAGGGAGTAATCGCCCTTTCGGATGACAAAAAATTAGATGTCCGAAAATTGCAGATAGCTCAAAGATTTGGAGAATTCTTGAGCCCTAATTGAACTTTGTCACCGGTCTACAAGCTGCCGAACAGCCATTATCAACCTATCGCCACCATATCCTTCAGCAGTCGACCATCGCTGCCCCATCAAACTCACCCAACAATCATTGCCCATCCAAAGTCACCCAACAATCATTGCCCATCCACAGTCACCCATCTACAATCACTAGATCTGTCTCTTAACTAAGATGACCTGACCATTGCCCCCAATCTATGGTTGATTGGCCACCGTTTGCCAACGATCACTTCACCAGCACGCCCCAGCAATGGCTGACCAATTATTGTTGTCTCAATATAATTGTTCAAATTCCATCACTAGATGACAATTGCCCAAACATCTGTCGCTCAACCATTCATCTCCCAACTACCACCTCAAGACCACAGTCACCCAAAAATTAATGCCCATCTACGGTCGCACAACTTCCATTGGCTGACTACAATTGCATGTCTACAATCACCTGATCAACCAATCGACCACCGCACAACCCTTTCATCGCACAACTTTCCTTCGATCAGCATCACTCAACTAAGTAAACATGACCACTATCACCCTTTAAGATGGTCAAATCACCACCACTCGACTACGATTGTTTCACTATATTCATCCAACCATC